ACAATAATAAACTTTTCTCTTTTCCCGAAATTTTTGCTTAAAAAGTCGAAGTAATGTGTCTGCAACATCTCTCCTTCCTCAATATAAAATGACACGAAACTGATGGTTTACAAATAGAGGGAAATCGTGAGTAATCGAAACGCCATTTTCTCGCTTTGTGAAACGAGCCGCGAAGCGCAGTTTAAACCGGATGTGACATCATTTTTTGTTAGATGATGCCTGTACGAAAATTTCAGGAGTCTTGTGCCCCGCCCCTGAATAAAATCGGATGTCAATGGTCTCTCTTAATCTTTTGATAGTATCTTCAAAGATCATTGCAACTTATTGTCTGAAAAATCTGTGTACAGGATAAAAGTTAAAATGTTAGTAACAAAATTAATGTGTTTCTAATTCAGTTTCAGAAATTCCTAAATAAAGTTAAGTCAGATGAAAAGCATCTTTCAGTTTCGGAACACTTTTCTTGCATATATCATCTGTTGTTAGAATTACTCTATCAGAATCTAAATTCGCAAATTTCACTATGCTTTTTACCAATTAGCAATTAATTGGTGTAAAACACTTGAAAACTGAGGATAAAGATAGTAAAATACGTTATCTTCTTATAAAAGAGATTGATATTTTTACCACATAAAATATAATCTTAAACATTTCGTTCGGTCAGGCCCATAGAATTTTGTGATTTTATTTTACAGAGGAAGGTTAATGCCCTATTCACACTATGCGGGACCGTAATTGTTATCGAGAATGGTGCAACCTATCGTTTCAGAGTTAAAGCCTCGAAAATATTAAAAATAATCCGCCATTTTTAAACCCAACAAAGTCCATCCAGCATGCCTGTGTTGTAGAGCACGTGACCCCGGATTCTGGAGCGCGGTCGGACGCCTTCTATTTGAACAGCAAAGATTCAGACAAGTTGAACTGGTGATTTTTGATCAATGGAAGGCGCCCGTAGTGCCAGGTGATTTCCAATGAGTTGTAATTTAGTGGAAACATTAGTTGCAAATTCAGGCCATCAGCGAATGACAAGCATGTGTGGATCGTTCTCAACAGGAGTTCAAAATTGCAGGTTTGATTGCTGCTTGACAATTTGGGCAAGTAGAAATTAATTTATATCCAGGAGTTAATATAAGCTCCTTTTCTCGTCTTTATCATCGTATCCAGAATTACACAAAGAAATCCGAGAACGTTTTGTGCGCGTAATGCTGGAGACTGTACATTATGAAGGCTTGTGAATCAAAATGAACCGGATATGGAAAATGGACAGCGGTAAAGAATTATCA